AAGAAAGGACTTGTATCGCTTAAGTTCTTCGGAAAGAATTTCTACGGGAAATTAACATTTTGAAATGGATCTATAGCTTATAATCCCAAGCATTCAGAATACTTTTAGGCGATATATATTTATATGTACCTTATAAAATGCAAAATACCTAAATTTTGGAACCTGGTTAAAAACACATACACGTCAGTTTTCAAACAGCATGACTGTAAAAATCGAGTATGCCTTAACAACCGTCCTCCAAAACTAGGATCACTTTACAGTAAAAAAAAAAATCTGTGTTCATAGGGAAATTCGTCTAAATTAAACTTTGATTTACAATAAAAAGACGTTTTATTTTGTGTTATTAAGCACATAGCTGAACCATGGGTTTAGAGTGAAGTGCTCACCGCGAGAAACGAATCCCGATTTTTAGGGTTAGGAGCCTTTAGACTTACCGCTGTGCCATTGTGGCCTGCTTTATTTTGGTAATATTATGTTGTTGATGTGTTTTAACTTATTAATAGTGGTGAATAAGTTAGTTTTCAATAGTATTGAATTTCTTTCTGAGAACTATATTTTTAGTACTAGTAAGTGTGACGTTTTTATAATAAACGCTGGTAACGAGATTAACTACTCATGTGGCTAAGAAGGGAAGATTAGCTTAAACCAGTTTGACAGTTAATTAACAACATTTTAAAAATGTTTAATAAACAAGAATAAACTTCCTCTAGGTATTTTTAAGTGTTTTATTCAAAGAAAAATAATTCGTAATGATAACTGCAAAAATATCCAGAGCATCTCATTGATGGTTTATGTAGATTTGCCAACATTTTATAGTACAATTCCGGGATTTAAATGCCACACCCACATGTCACATCCTTTCCTTTGCTAATTGCCAATAGTTTTCTCTGACGTTTTGCATTATATTATTTACAACCAATAGAAAGCTAACGTTTTAATCTATCAAATGACTTGATATATTACTTTATTTGTTCAGAGAAAATTTGTCTCGCGCGAATATCATCGATATGCTTAGCTGAATTTTTAAAGGCTCTGATCGCATAGTTAGAAAGCCGGAAAAATTATAATAGTTATAGGACATTGTTTGCTTTGTGCTGTTATTGTTCTGTGTTCTTAGATGCATTACTTAATTAAATAACAAAATATTTAGTGTGATAGTACCATTAGTATTAAAAAGTGGGCTTAAATTTTGTCGACAGTAAAAATGGGACCCAGGTAAGTACTATATATCTTGTTTTTATTGTATATTATTTATGTATTGTTATAAAAGCAACTAAAATCTAAAAAGCAGAAACTTATTAGGCTAGATTACGTAAAATAATGAAAAACAGTAATAATAATACAAATTCTTCAAGTTGTATGCTTGCAGCAGCTCGTGCGTGGGTAATTCGATACGGTAACGCGAGCTGGATGTTCGTCGAGTAACATTAAAGTGTTTATTATTTGCAAGCAGCAAATATCTGAATAAGTTTTGTTCTGTTTTTATTTATTAATTTTTTTTGAGAGACTGGGAAAGTTATCAAGCACTTCAAGAGCCGGGAGACTCCCCGCGTATCGGGAGTGTTGGCAAGTCTAGGCTCATGTTAAACTTATGTTACGACAGCGGAGGTCACGTGACGCTAGCAACACGTCATAATCTCGAAGGTTCGTGAAGGCTCGAGTGTTTACTAGAAGTGCGGTATTCATGTATATAAGACCACCAAGAAGTTACGGCAACAGTGGAATGTAATTGAATTGCAAACGGTGATAGAGACGACAGTTGAGTCAAGCCAGTAATTCGTTCGTTCGTTATGAAATATAGCGTTTGTTTAATTTATAGCGTGACTGTGGAAATTAAGTGTATTGCAAGTTGTATTGAGAAAGAATAAACTAGTTTTAATTAAGAAAGGACTTGTATTGCAAGTTGTATTGAGAAAGAATAAACTAGTTTTAATTAAGAAAGGACTTGTATTGCTAAAGTTTCTTCGGAAATAATTTTTACGGAAAATTAAGAAACGAACAGAGACGCAACACTTATTTCAATAATCGAAAGTTGACCCGAGAAGCAAAACTTTATTAACCATTTCTATGTACAGATTAGCATAAGTTTAAAAATCTACAAGTCACACAGAAACTTAACTCTTATGTTTCAATGGACTGCAATTAATTAGGATTATATTTAGTAGAGATAAAGTAATTATTCTATTTAAAGAGACTTAGGTATTGGAAACGTTAAGCTAAATTGTAAAATGCTTATATCTTTAACCTCTCACACACAAATAAATAAAATCAAAGGTGCCCTTCAACCTCTAACAGCATAAGCCATTCTAAATATAGTGCTACGACAGCGGAAGTCACGTGACTCTGGTAACAATATGATAGATCGGAATATAATGTTTTACAATTTGAATTACATTGACAATAAACACTATTATTTTTTAAATATTGATAAATTAATCACAAATTCAAGCAAGTTCCCGCATGGCAAATTAGTGATTAAATACTGTTGCAGACTGAAACCAGTGTCCGTAGAGGGAATATATATCCCACAAAGACTAGGGCCATCTTAGAAACATTTTCGTAAAGTTATCGAAAATTATTAATTAAAAGACATTTTAATGAACATGTTACACACACTTTTGAAATACAGCCAACTTCAAGTGGGTAAATTTAAAGCAGTTTTTAGTTCACCAATTTGAAGCTGTATTTTGGAAGTATCGATAAGTCGTGGGTACCTGTAAAACAACAAAGAAACAAGAAATGTTACACAGAGAAAGAAAAAAACCAGTTTGAAGGAAAATTATATTTGATGGTTTGCTTAGTACTTCAAATTTGGAAGCCACAGTATCAATAAAAATGGTTAAAAGATGGCTGTAGTTCCAATGGGCATCATAGTATTTTTATAGCACTAGTATACGATGAATGAAAACGTCGCCATTCACCAAAATGTGGTCCACACGAGACAGCCCGAGACGGTGTGGAAAATCAACTTGGGATACTCCATTTACAGCTATACGATACTTGTCGTCCTGGCAGAAAATTTGGATGTCAAAATGACTATTGCGGAAAAAAGGAAACTTCTCGATGGTTCGAACCTCCTCGCCCCAGGATCCTTCGTCTCTGGAGTTCTGTACAACCACTTCTCCCTCAGGATCGTCCCAGCGAGGATTGTAATGAAGCATGATATCAGCTTCATCACTGTTGTCACATTGCAAGTTTATGTAAAATCTGAAGGGAAAAAAACAACAACATTTAAAAAACGTAAAGGTTTTAATAAACATATATTCTCAGAAGTACTCTACTGTGCTAGTACTACCCCAATGAGCCTTACAAGGCACAATCTTTTAGATTTTCATAAGAAAGTGGAGGTCAAAGTGCAGTTGCTAACTTGCTGAAATATAGATTTTAATATCGTTACAAGGTTTCAGATCAATTTTTAAATCAACTGAAAAAATGATAGATAATTTTCTTCAGATACTCAGATGTAAGGTTAGAAGCTCTTTCATTGTGTCAAAAATTCTTGAATAGATTAATTTTCAGAAATAAATATTTATTAATTCTGCTGTAAATGTTGAAGATGTGATTAAACGTATTATATGTCTATTCATTCTTCGAAAGTTAAAACTTTTGTTTAAAACGTGTGTAAATTAAATATTTTAATATGTAAACTTAGAAGCGAGAGCCAGTGCTACGAGAAACATTCACAACTTAAATTGACTGATGATTTGAGATAGCTTGTGGAATAACATAGGTGCACGTCACAAAACAATAACTATTTCTAGGCGTTGCGCTCATGTTATTATTTGTATGCCAATATGCTGTTTCATCCATTTTCCGGGTTAATGTGGTGTAGGCCTATTCTCCAAGTATCAATTGAATTCATTTTAGAAACAGTAATTGAAGACAAACCCGTGTTTAGGTTAAAAAATATTTTTTCTAACACCACATATAAGTATCTATCATAATGTATTATCGGTATAAATCGTTGTTGGTTGAGTTACGACCAAGTGACGTTACATCATCGGCCAAAGGCTTACATGTTTCATTTCTCAACTGTAGTGAAAACAATTATGAAGAGTTTATTACGAAAGCACCATCTATTGGTAAGTACTGATAAATAAAATGGCAGTTTTCTGTATTCCGTGAACTACATCTTTTCGAAATTCGCCCATCACTTTATCAAAAAACGTCCGACAATCATTGAACATGATCGTTTGTTATTTCTCTTTGAAAATAGTTCATCTTCAGTTGCTCATGCTCAAATATGCGGGAAAATTATTCAACATATCATTCTATGAAATATTCACAAAAAAGCTATAGTTTCTACATTAAAATGCACAAATGAATTTAATAAATTACTGTTACAATAAAAACTTGCAAGCTGGTTAAAGCTTAATGTGCTATAATTTTTAAAGTATTGTTACGCCTCCAGTCGTCACTTAATTTTCCGTGAATTCGTTCCGACGAAACTTTAGTGACACAAGTCCTTTCTTA